ATATATATATATATATATATATATATATATATATATATATATATATAATGTGATTAGTACTCCTATTCAGAAAATGGAATTAATAAACAACTTTACTAAGGGCCGGCCAAGTGGCTCAGTTGGTTAAGAGCTTGCTCAAGAGTGTGAGCTCTTTCTGTACACCTGAAACTAACAATAAAAAAAAAGAAAAAAGAAAAAAAAAGAGTGTGAGCTCTGAGCAACAGCAGTTCGAGGCCCGAGCTGAGCTGCCACTGAGCTGCCAATAGGTGGCAGGATGGCTCAGCTAAAAAAAAAAATAAAAATAAAAATAAACATCTTTACTAATGAAAGTTAGATGATTATCACTTTGAGATGAAAAGTGTCTTCATTTCAAACTTAAATTGTTGAAGAATATTAATAGAGACCTGGTAGTGTCATTATTTGCTTCATTTATCCATACCTTACTCTTTTTCTTCTTCGGGGATGTTTGTTTGCTTGTTTTTGGTTTGCAAAGCCAAGCTTTCTACTATCATTTAGAAAAGAAAAACTAAGAGTATAGGAGTTTCAGGCCAACCAATATTATTTTTAAACCAATATCATTATAATACCTGGAAAAGTATTCACAATAGAATGAATGGTTATTACTTACTAATGGCATTCATCATGCCACCTTTTCCAAAAAGTAGACATTGTAATAAATACAATTGCTTTTATCACCATAAATACTGAAACATATTTATGCCTAAAGATATTTATGCTCACACATAGTTGTCAAGGAAGTCTTTTTCTACTATCCAGTTATTTAGTAACTATTATACAATACTCTCTTTATATAATTGGTAGTAGCTTTATTTAACACTTGAAACACTATGGTTTTTGAAGTCTATGATAGCCCAACAGTCATACCTTTAAAACTCATTGATCTTTTAGGAGAACCCATATAGCTAGTTTTTAAAAAGTTGCAATGACTTGGCAACATGATAAATAATTGGATGCAATGCTATATTAATAAACTAGTAGTCAGATTACAAGATTAAATGGAAACATGTAATTTTCTATGGTAGCATCTTTTACTATTTCTTGGTATCACATTTTATATAAAGTTCTCAAAAGCTTAGAGAATAAAGTATCTTAGTTTAATGCATTTTAAGTGTTAAAGGCAGTGAATAATTGATAATGCTACTTAAACTTAAGTAACTTGAAAACTTTTATTGATTGTTAACTATGCAAGAAACATAAAAATTTAAACAAAAAAGTAAGCATTATAATAAGAAAAGGTCTCCTTGGTTTATCACCCCTCATGTGGGTCTTTTCTCTAGACTTCTCACTATTATAGTGTAGTTGGTATGCTTTCACATGTTTTCCTAAACGTTTTCATGCATAAACGTACTTCCAAAGGAATAAAAAGTTTTTATACATAAGTAATGTTATGTTATTGTTCTACTTTTCTTTTTACTCAACAATAGCTATTGGAGATACTTTTGGTACATATAGTTTGATCGTACTCTTTTTCATTGCTGTACAGTGTTTCATAATATCACCTTGCCATTCTCTTTAGTCAGTTTTTACCTTTCTGCCATCACAAAGTTGCAGGGAATATTATAGTCCAAGCCTTGCTGTGGACACTCATGACTACTTCCTGCTCCCAGATCTTGAAAGTGTAATTGCTACATTATAGCATATGAGCATTCACATTTTAATAGATATCAACAAATTGCCTTTCAGAGAACTAATGTACATTCTCCCAGCAGAATACCACATCCGATTTCCCACACTCTAAGAGCCAACACTTGATATTTTCCATCCCTTTTTACTTCTGACAATCTGGCCTATGAAAAACAAAATTATATTATTTTTGTTTACATTCTGCAAATTATTGAGGGTGGGCACCTTTTAATACATGTATTGCTTAACTATGTAATTTTAATTGCCTGTTCATACCCTTCATACATTTCCTATGCCGTTGTTTGTCTTTCTTATGCGTTTGTTAAAAGTTTGCATACAATTTATTTATTTCATACACCGCAAATCTTTACCCTTTGCTACTTAGGTTTTGCACAGCTGCTCTCAGAACGTATAATGTATGAACTGTGACCATGCCATGAGAAATAATCTCCCATGAGCAATATCAGTATGGGCAAACCTCAGCGGTCCTTGAAGTCTGGGAAACATCTAATTGCTCTTCTGTGTTTGTTCCTTTTTGCCCATATATAGAACTAAGCTTAAGTGTTCATCTTGTCAAAACACATTTTCTTTTTTAATCATTCAAACAATTCTATGTTAAGGCAACATTACCTCTGTCTTTGGACTTTGCACTTTTTCATTCTTAGCCTGAGGACAGGTTATTTAGTGTATAACAAATTTGAGTTTCTCTAAGTTTCTAAAATTAATTCTCAGCAATTATAAAGAGCTTTGTAATTCATAAAATAAAAGTTACTACAAGACTTTGGGACCATCTTTTGAGCAATATTGTTTTTCCTTCACGTTCATTTAGTAATACTGTGCTTGGTGAAATATTTATAAGAGGGAGAAAATCCACATGCATTTACATGTCTATTTCCTATCAGTTGGACCCTTGCAACAAATATAGAAAAGATACTTACTTGCCATCTTTGAACCAGCCAATAACTGGGAAGGGAGTGCCCTTGACCTGGCATTCAAGGGTGATGTCGTGGTTGAGGACAACTGAGATTTCATTTGGGGAGTTGGCGCCTATTATGGTGGGTGGGACTGGAACAAGACATTTTATCATGAAAATCTATGACTTAGCAAAAAGAGTAGGGGGAGGGAGAGTAGATAATCAATGTTTTCTATCATACTTCAGCAAGATCTTATTGTTAAAAATATCACACAATAATCCATTTTCAGATCACATCTATGGAACCAAATGCTAAAGTTAAATATAGGAACATATTCATGAAACACTTGATAGCAGGATCATTACCTGAAAGAATTATGGTAGTATAGAACTCATTTTGAGGAATATTAAACCCATGTACAAAAGGAGTTTAGAATATCAGTGAGCAATGAAACTCACCTAATACAACTTACTACTGCTACACATTTTAGATAATGAATGACAAAATCGATGTCAATCCTATAATGTTCAATTTCTACATATGATACCATAGTGCTGTTTGAAACATATTACTCCAGTATCTTTTAAAGGGCTCCTATGTTAAAACTGGTTATGCCATATAATGTTGACTAATTCGTTTTTATTCTTGGGATTATCAAGCATACTGAGGAGCTCCTGTATGCTTCCCTGACCTTGTGATCCTCCCCTTCACATCATGTTAAGGTGTTGAGTCTCCATCTTCAGAGCAATGAGAAGCCACTAAGAGGTTTCAGCGGGGGGAGTGTGATAAGATCAGCTAAGACCACACCAGCTGGTGAATGAAGAGAGGGTTCCAAAGGCAACAAGTAAAGGAAGGGGAGCAATTGGGAGGCTATGCCATTAATTCATTTATAAATGATATTGTCACATAAAATGTGAAAATGATAGTTTGTCCTTTCAAAATGGAAAAGATAAACAAATTAAAATAGAGTTAGGAAGTAGACTTAAGAGGATGTGGATTTAAGGGGTCAGGGAGAGGGAGGTAGAAAGAATGAGTGTTAGGTCCTGGCAGACGCAAGTGGCTGGATAGAGATGCAGTCTCTAAGACAGGCATCACTGAAGTGACCAGGACAGTCATTTGCTGAGACCTTTCTGTTTGCTACATCACTAAGATGTTCAAGTCCAGGGTCTGTGGAGAAGATGAGATATACATCACGAGAATTCAGAGAAGAAGTCTGAGCTGGAGATAAAAACGTAGGAGTCATCGGCAGACAGAGGGAATTCCAAGTCAATGAGGGTCAAGAGAAACAATGCCAATGAGGCTAATGATAGAAAAGGTTACTTAGTTTTTATAACCTATACTTAAATATAATAATGGTAATTTTGGTGGAAGACATGCAAAGGACTTCAGGGTTTGGGAAGATTAATGAGAGGGACTATTTTTATGTTATAGCAGTTTATGCATGGTAATTTTAATACAGCATTGTTCTTAGATCTCATTACCACATCATACGCCTGTTTTGATCAGCAAAATATGGAAAAGAGAGGAAGTGTAAACTTATATTGGCAAATATAATCTTACACATTATAAAAACTTAAATTTATTACCATTAAAAAAATTAAAATGTTTTATATCTGAATTTATTACAGCTACTATCTGCTCTCAGAATCTTCTCTCCTTAATTAGAAACAGGGCTGAGGTGATTTAGTTACAAGAATTAATTAGAATGCAGGGGAAGATGGATTTTCTACCTTCCCTAGTTCCAGTACAATCTGGCAGCTTCAGAAGATGTTGACAGCATGAATGAGTTTTACTCTGCACCATCCTAGATACTTATTACCCAGAGAATTTCCTGCCAGCCTAAATGGAGAAATTGATGAAAGTAATAATTTACTATATTTTATGTACAAAATAGTACCAAATACCCATAGATTCCACTGCATGGTAAATAATAAATCCCTTTAAATTTTCTGTATCATATGGTTCCACTTAACCATTATTAAAGACAAAAATTATAATGATAGAGTGATATGAATGATATTTCTATCAATTTATTTTTTATCTCTTTACTCTTTCAGTCAGCTGTATCCTACATAAGGAATGCATCTGAATTGTAGTTTTTTAACAGAAGGTTTTCCTCACCTAGCACATCGATGTTAAAATACTTCTGAGAGGTGCCTGCCACATTCATTGCTTTGCAGGAATATCTTCCCGCGTCCTCTGGACTGGCTCTGAAGAGCTTCAATATCTTCCCGTTGTTGACGATCTGAACAGTGCTGCTTTCAGTCACCTTTAAGGGCCAAAACAGTCAGTGTTAGTACCAATCCTAATAAAAATGCATAATTAAAATTGAAGTAAAATTTTGATATTATTATTAAGAAGAAAGTCCCAACTGAACGATTCCTTTCAGAGGCAGAGGAGAAGAATGATGTATTGGGTTGTCGGGAAAGTGATGACGCATTTTTGCATTGAAAAACATAGAAAAATACGTCATGACTTTCCTGACGACCCAATAGATTGGGATGTGTCCACTTACTTGGACCTCATCTTTGTACCATGTGATGATGGGAGATGGAGTACCTTCCACTTCACACAAGAGATTGGTCAGCTGATTGACCAGCATGGACACGTTTGTCACTTGGTCTGTATCTTTAATTACTGGAGGAACTGAAAAAAGAGAGGAGCAACGGTTAGAAAATTTTACTGTAACTATGATTTACAAAGTTTCTTTATACAGCCTTTAGGAAACAGATTCTGAGATATGTGACAGCTAGAAAGGCTGCTCCTAGTTAGGCACGTGACAGAATATAAAATGAAAAGTCTCCACCAATCTGTTTATAAGTAACCCTTATTGAATGTTTCCTTTAGTTATTATTTTAGGGTTTGGAGTTGAAAATAAACATTAGGAGAAATTTAAAGGAGAACCTAGTTATTCCACATTCCACTAATAATGCAAACTGCTGGGGTCTTAATAAGTTACATGGGGCTCATTACTTTCATGATGGGAGTGACTATTGCCCAGTGTCTATGAAAGTCAATATCCATCAAATTTTAAAATGCATACACCCTTTGACAAAATGACAAAGGTACAATATTTTCACTGAAGTGGTACTTATAATAGCAAAGAACTGGTAGCAACCTACATGTTTCTCATTAAAGAGAAAGGTTAAGTAAATCATGGTACAAGCATAGAGTGGAATGCTCTGTAGGCATAAATAAGAGCTAAGAATATTGAACAATCCCCAAGATGGAATTTTTTTTTAGTGAAACAGATAAGGTGCAGAGTAATGGATATAATGTTCTACTATATGTGTACCTTTTTATACATAGAAAGCGGATAAACCATATATTCATATTTCCTTGCATATGCATAAATATCTCTGGGACAACACACACACACACACACACACACACACACACACACACACACACAGCGAATACTTTCTTTGCCCCTAGGAAGGCTAAATAGATGGCTCAGCTCAGGATCATGAGACGTTTGACTATGTATCTTTTTCTATCATTTGAATTTTCAGTTACAAAGTCACAATAAAAAAAATCACATGAAATTTTAAATCAAGTCAATCAATAAATGTGATCAGGTCACCCGTTTTCTGTTTGATAACATTTCTATTCACTTCAATATTAAATACTACTACATTGAGAGAATAACTTATACATAATTTGAAAATGTCACATATTCAATGATTTGATGTTAACATTTTTGTCTGTATTTACCATGGACTTTGAGGTTATATTTTTTTTCGGTGGTCCCAGCTTCATTGACTGCCACACAGATGTACTCCCCATTGTCATATGGTGTAACAGAAGCAATAACCAACAATGTGCCATCTTCCAAGATAGAAATACCGAGCTCTCGGCCTGTCAGCTCTCTGCCATTCCGTAACCACTTGATGGTCGGTTTGGGGGTACCTAAACAAGAAATTAAAGTCTTGTGATAGTTACAACAAAATTAGAAATCACTATTAAATATGTAAGTATATTAAGGAGAAACAAAATTTTTTCTTATGACTGTAATTTGTACCTTAAGGTACAATGCTACTTTTAAGATATGTCCCCTAGCATGGAATTTTAAAGAGATTATGGTATTTAACACCTCTAATTCCTGATTAGTTCTAAGAGGCCTATGGCCTCTAGTGTAGAGTTTGGTCAGAGTTGTTTTTATCGAGATATTCAGATGATAGTGAGCAAAGCAAAGCATTTTCTTGAGTGCGTTCATGGTAATTGGTGAGGGGGAAAAAGACTATATTGATAAAAAGGACTGGATGTGGGGAGAGGTTTTGGCTGAAAATAAAGGAAGAGCAAAAATAAGATACTATCATAGGAACCCAGCATAATGATTGCCCAACCAAATAGAATGCATAAATAATGTAAAGAAATGGTGCTTTAAAATTCCCATTTCAAGTAGGCCTGTTACAGTAGATATGAAGAAGTTCTATACACACGTCTCCTGGAGATCTCATGCTGCTAAACCTAGGATGACAGAATAATTCTTGACTTTTTATATTGAACAGAGAGCTGAGAAAACATTGAGTAGAATTAATTTCACAGATTTATTTACGACCAACAGAGTGAATGGAAGTGATGTCCTTGTGAGTACAAGTGACAAAACCATCCTGAACTACATAATGAGCCAATGGACATATTGGAAATAGACAAACATTACGTTGTACTAAGAATGTGTTTATTTAGCAAACAATGTGTCAGGCACTCTTTTAAGCACTTTAAAATTTACTTAATCCTATAAAGATATAAAGAAAGCACATTAAGTAAAATTAATTATTGCAAAAGACATTGTTAATCATCTTATACTAAAGGGTAATAAAAAATATTAAAGAATGGTCATAGTCAAAGACAAGTAAAAAAAAATGGCAGGAAAATACAGAACATGTCATTAAGGCTAAACTCAAATTGAGTTAAGGGCTTATAAAAGTGACTATGAGTGTTATATTCACGAGAAAAATAAAACAAAAAATTGGCCCATTTCATTGTGCTGGTGGTAAAACATAGAATGGTGAGGAAGAGAAGGTAAAACCGATGGACCACAGCTGTCTATATTGTCAAGGCAAAAGGAGGAATGACAGCTCACGCCTTCTTCTATGGCTGTCAATCAGACTCCTCAATTTGTATTTGCTGAGTTAATAAATGAAAAAAACAAATGGGCAAGCCAAGAAATAAGTTGCTTTATCTTTAATTTATAAATGGTAGAATAACCATGGACAAGATGAAATTCACACAAGGGAAGTCAACACCGCTTGAAAAAGGGAGTCCAAGCCAGCTTAGAAGTTAGGGACTCACGTGGGGAGCAAGCAGCAGCACTGACCTGGGCAGGGGTCCAGCCGTAGTGAGTGACCACATATTTCCATGAACTTAAACCCTTCTAAACGTTTCCTCTGCATGCCGTGCCTCCCTCCCTCCCTGGCTTTGGGAATAGTTACTGATACTTCTTGTGATATCTGAAAAGCTTGTTATAGTTATCTTGTAAGCTAACAGAAATAGTGAGAACTGCTGTTGAGAGATGCAAAATCTTGCTACAGAAACAGAGGCAGCCATGAGGACCTTCAATGGTTCCTGTCTCCGGGAACAACTGCTGAGAGGCACACCTTGGGGAGCTCATGCAACCAGCTGCATAGGCCCTCCTGGCGGTTAGGGAAAGAATACTGCTTGGCTTTTTCAGAACTGCTACAAAGCCATTTGAGTCATTGCAGATAAATGCACATGTGACAGATAGGATGTTCTAAACCAACTCCTGAGCATCCTGAGTAAGGGTAAGAGTGACAGCGCCTCTCACATCCCCCAGAGGAGACCGAATAACAGTCTTTTGCCAGGAAACATAGTGGATAGAAACCCCAGAAACTCAGGGAGAGCAGGGGTTTGAATAAGCCTCCAAAGGCCAAGTTACAACCTGGCTATAGAATTCCCAGCAGAGGGTAAATCTAAGAAAAGAGGTTTTGAGGAAGGAAGTGTCCAAACAAATAAGGGGATAGTCCTAATTTATACTTCTAACTGAGAGTGATAAATGTGGAATATTTTGAATAGCCTGAGCTGCCACATTTTAAAGAGAAATCTTATCAAAACAGAATGAACTAAGAAGTGACAGGAGACAGCACAAACTACGTGGAAAACACACAAGATGAGGCAAGATTGAAAGAATATGAGGTCTTTCCATTGAAGGAAATCCAATACCTGGGAGGGAATTTTACCTCTTTAGAGGGCTGTTATAGGAAAGTGGGATTCGTTTCTATTATGCCCAAATGTTATAACAGGGACTGACAAGTGGAGTTTTATAAAGATGATGTTTTGGGCTCAACACAGAATTCAAGGACACTGTAACATTACGCCAATGTCCGCATGTCTGAGTTTTACCCACCTTTTGCAGGACACGGAAATGCAATGCGCTGATTGGCCACCCTTTCCTGGAATGGAGTGTTATATGGAGGTTCTAGATCTTCCAGTGTAGGCGGTTCTATGAGAAAAATCAATGCGTTATCACAGGCTGCCCTTGGAAAATACCACTCTCATCGAGCATCATCAACCAACCACATTGGTGAGCTGCTAGCCTTTCCTGATTCTTCTTTTAAACACAACTCATATTTCTAACTGCCAGGTATTTCTCCCGAGATATGACCCAGGCATCTAAAACTCCAAACGTCCCCCCAAAACTCATTATTTCATGCTTCCTACAATCCTGTTTGGTTTCCTCTGTTCCCTCAGTCAAGGCATTATGTTCCTCCCAGGGTGTCTTAGGACTGTCTCCCTTGCCCCTGCCTTCCACATCCGACCAGTCACATAGTGCCACACATGTTCACACATCTGTATCTTCCTCTCTATCCTTAGGGTCCCCAGTTATTTCCAACCCTTACTTTCTCTTGCCAGAACTATTTCAATGGGCTTCTTTTTGGGGTCCTTTTCTCAAACATGTGCCCATTTGGATTCATCCTCTACAGAGCCCTCCGAATATTCTCTCATCGTTTGGCTTTCCTGATTAAACTAATTCCTTTTATTCATTTTGGCTGTAGGATAAAATTTCACCCTGTTCTTTCTTCACTGTGCCCTCCGTGTATCCAAACTCTCTGAACAGCCTCACCATCCATTTCATGAAGAAACTGGGGAGTCATTCCATCTCCCTCACTCCCCATATATAATCTGTCACCATTTCCTGAAGATTTCCTCTCCTAAATATTTTTTTTTTAGTCCATTCCCATCTTTCTCCCAGTCCAACTACCATTATCTTTTGCCTGAGTGGCTTCAGGTTTCCAGCTGTTTCCCCTCACCTTCTCTAGCCAAACCATTCTCTCCCCAAAGAGGGATCTTTTAAAATCCAAATCCGATCCATCACTTCCCCGGTATAAAAGCCTCTAAGTCTTTTCATTGCACTTAGGAAAAAGTCTAAACACCTTAATCTTAGCTCCTAGGTCTTGGATAATCTGGCCCATGATTGTGTCCAGCTTTACTCCATGTCATTCATCACTCAGCCTGGAATGCAGCCAGCTGGCTTTTATTGATTAATTTATTATCTCCCCCAATGTACCCAAAATATCACATTCCCTCTTCTTTATAGTCTATGATCTGGAAGGTTCTCCCACCCCATCCTATTGCACCCTTGTCCATCACCTCATCTACTTCTACCCATTTTTCAAATCTCAACTGGCATGGCCCTACCCTAGGGAAGGCTTCTTTGATTTACCTTTCTGATAAAAACTCATATAGAGATTTCTACCCGTTCATGATGGCACTAACCAATGTGTTGTAATTATGAGATTGTTTTATAATGTCTACCTTTCCCAGTCAACCATAAACATAAGCACTGGATAAAGTTTGCTGAGTGAATGAACTGGACAAGCTCTCCAACAACATCCTAGCCATCCACCCAAAAAGAACTGCGATGTGCCAGGTACGAAGTACGAAGCACTATGCGAAATATGAGCCTGCTTGTTTCTTCTTGCCTCTGCACTGGTATTCTCTCTGACTGGAAACGCTCCTCCCCTGATTTTCATATGGCTGGTCCCTTCTAGTCAACAAGATCTCACCCTAAATATGATCTCCTCAGACGAGTCCTACCTGACAATCTAATCTAAAGTACCCAACTGCTGGAAGCATCACCCTATTTTAATTTTTCTACGCAGCCTTCTCACTCTCTGCATGTGTTATTCATTTGTTTGCTCGCTTTCTGCCTACTCATAGCAGAACAGTTCATAAAAGCAGGCGCTCTGCCTTTGTCACGACTTTCTCCTCACGGCCTCGAACACGAGACAGACACCTGGCAGGAGCTTGATAAATATTTGTAGCTTGAGGGAATAAATATTGATCTTTAAACCCTCAAAACAAAGCTAACATCATTAGAGGGAACAGCGGACCTAGATTTCCTAGGGATCGATATTGAGAGCACCCAACCACTATGAGGCGCAATCCTGCTCCAATCCACTCTGCCCACAGTTTCTCCCAAACCAAATACAGTGGGTGGGGCACTTTTAGAGATTGTTTCCATCATCTATATTATCTATGACAATTTGATTTTCAAAAGTAAACATACAAAAATGGATGTGGGTTTAGTAACAGTACGGTTTCATTTCTTTCCGGAATGGTTCTCCTTTCAAAGTTAACTAAAAGAATCAGTCATAAGAGTGACCCAGAAATCTTCTGAAAGTGATCCAAGACTATATTTTGTACAGACTTGAGGGGTTTCCCCCGCTTCCACCCCCACCACACATATATTTTCCTATGCCAAAAATCACCTTGGACATGAAGTGTGATTTCCGTTTCATCACTGCCTGCGATGTTGGTAGCCACACATGTATATATGCCGGCATCTGAGAGCAAGGCTTGATTGATGCTTAACGTTCCATCTGGATTGCTAATATGCTGCCCTCCGTCACCCAGCACTGCACTCCCACCTCTCAACCAGGTGATTACAGGAAGAGGCGTCCCTTGAGCACTGCATGGAATGTCCACTCTTTGACCAACTTGGACTTTCATAAGTTTAGGGCCACGCTGTATCTTTGGAGGAACTGGAAACAACTGAGTATTACTAATCCAATTAAAAAAAAATTCCTTCTTTTTCTCACTTTAAATGAGAGCCCTTCACCAAGAGGCAGCATGAGAAAGGAGAGCTGTATCAGGATTGGGACCCAGGCCACCCACTGTGTGATCTAGGGCAAATTAGCAAATTTCCTGAGGCCTGCTTTCTTGATAATCCAGGCAAAATAACCTCTTTAATACTAGTATAATGCAAGGATGATGGGAAATAGAAAATACAAAATTCCTCATTCTAAACTTGAGGAAGAGCAGGCATTTAAAACTGCCATGTCTCCTTTAACTTATAAACAACTTAAGGTTTAAAACCGTCTTAAAAGGCCATCCAGGTAATTTCTATAATATAATAGAGTAAAACAAAAAGCTTTTCTCTCCACATGCCCTTAGATTTTGTTCTCTTTGTGGACGGTTTAGCCAGACAGTAAGAAAAGTTTCTCATGAACGCCTTTCCTAATTTCACAGAAGAAAATCAAGATAAGTCTCTATTATTTCTCTTTATCTACCTTCCTCTAGAAATTTCAATGGAATAATTTATCAAAAAACTGGCAAGCATTATTGGGTTCCACATGCATTCACTGTGTGCCAAAGCGTCCAACTGAGATACAAGGATATAATTAGGATTTAGGCACCTTACATCCCTAATGGGCCCCATTCCTCAGTCCTTTCTTTTAAACTTAATGTTCAGCCAATACTTTCTACAGGGTGTCACTTATAACAACTTTATAAGTTTGATAGTATTATTGTCATTATTTTATAAAAGAGAAAATTCAAAATAAAAGAGGTTACTAATATGCCTAATGCCCCAAAGCTAGTAAATGAAGAACTCCCATCAGATTTCAAATCTTATGACCAATAAGATACTATTATAGCGATTAATCTGAGAGTGAAGTCAGGTCAATATCACCTAAGGAAATTTCTTATGATATTTCAATATCTGGCACCTATACAATGTCTGGCTTAGAGTATGTACTCACCAAGTATGTGCTGGTTGAATGAATAATTGGACAGACTATGATAAATTGAGGGAATAAAACAGACTAACTAGAGAGTTTTAAAGTAAAGAATCCTAGGAAGCGGAATGTTTTCAGTTGCTGAGCTCTTTGAACAGTGAAAAATGACCATTTAAATACTACTAAATTCTCCCTTGAGAGCGCACATTCACTTCTACAGAAATCCACCCGTCTAAACAAATTTTTATTACTGTGAATCAACTATAGTCATAAATGACTGTGGACATCTAGTAAAGTTGAGATCCAAAATTTTAATACTGTTCATTTGAGGAAAAAGGGGAGAGTTTTTTATAGAGGGCAGATAAACTTTTCAGAGTAAATGAAAGAAAATCACGTCTCAAATTTTAGAAAACTTTTCTCTGGTTACGCTATAAGCATTTTGGAGGTTAACTTAAAAAGAAATTGGGAGGATGGGTTTCCGTGTGGCCAGTACACAGATATCTGTGCCTTTATTTCAAAACTCACCATGAACATTTAATTTAACGGATTGAGTCACGTTCCCAGCAATGTTTGTGGCGACGCAAAGATACATCCCACTATCAGAAACGCGGGTCTCAGTGATCCTCATGGAACCAGAAGGGAGGAATGTGTGTCTAAAATAAAGAAACCACATAAAAGACCATAGAGCATGAGAACTTACATGTCCCGTGTGCGCTGTGAAATTACGACCGTGCAAGCTGTTTTTGAAGCCATTCTTTAATCTCAGCGTCATTTCTATATACCTTAAAAGCCAGCTTAGTTTCATAATTATCTTGTATATTATGTATGATGTTCTTGCAAATACAAAATCAGTTTTCTCTTTCCTTTAAATCTAACCTGATGGTCTGAAACCATCAAATTGTACATCTCTCTTTTATTAAATTGCAGATGCACAAAGCAAATGTATATGTTAGTCAATTTTAAATATATTTTGGATATTTTTTTTTCTAAAGAGCTTCATTAAAAACTTTAGCATGTTAAAATAAAGGCAAAAGGAGGCACACATGTAATTCTCAAATATATATTGACTATATTCCTCATATAGAACAATAATGTAGTGGGGTGAGCCAGACCTACACATAAAAATGTCATTGTATCAGTTGTATTAAAATTTAAGGAGGGGCAGAGAGACCTACTCAATATCAAGATTTCTTATAAAACTAAGACAAAGAAAGGGTACTACTGTTCCAGACACAGACAGATGGGTAAACAGTTAGGCACACATGCAGCCCCATCAAAAGAATTAAGAATATATGAGAACTCAACAAGTACTATGCAACATCAGAGGTGATATTACAAAAAGCAAGGAAAGTATTCGCTATTCAAAAATGCTGCTGGCCGGCTGGCCGAGTAGTTCAATTAGTTAAGAGCTCACTCAAGAGTGTGAGCTCTGAGCAATAGCGGTTGGATTCCCGGCCTGAGCTGAGCTGCCAACAGGTGGCAGGATGGCTCAGCTAAAAAAAAAATTTAAAAAACAAAATGGCGCTGGGCAACTGACTAGCCACATGGAAAAAATAAATAAATAAAATTAGAGCACTACTTAATACAACACACAATATAAAAATTCATATGAAACTTCAACTTTATCTGTAATATGGAATTTCTTTTATGTAAAAATATTCAAAGCAAATATTTTTCCCAAAGGAATAGTCAAATTATGTAAAGTAGTTCCTGCTTGTGTATTTTTTTCTCAGCAGTGGTCGTGGAAACCATAGCAGTGTGAATTTACAGCTTTATAAGTAAACATCCACAAGTCTAACAGACAATAGCCAGAGACTATAATTCTTATTTCACCAGTAACTTTTAGCAGGATATTGAGTTAAAACAGTAATTGCTACCATCTCTTGAGAACTAGAGACAGGGACTGTGGAGTATACATTATCTTATATAATCCTTCAGGTAAGTATTATCCCCATTTTATAAACAAGACATCTGAAGTTCAGAGACGTTCACTGGAAAAATTGCCCAAAGTTTCAGACAAGTTTGATTTAAGTGGCAGAGTAAATCAAAACCAGTACCTGCATGACAACAAAGGTTGTGCTCTTCGAGGCTCTGGCATCCTGCATTCCATGTCACTTAGCCTATCAAATACATTGTCTCAGGGGCTCTTCATTTGTGTAGGGGTCGAAGTAAGATTTTTACAAAACCATCTAATGATGTCAAATCCTAGATATTACAGTACCTATTGTGTTTTGTTCTCCTATGGGAGTAATGGAATTCTAGGTGGATCATGCACTTTGTGTTAACATGAATCAATGTAAAAATATATTCCATCTTAATAACTTCCTTGTAAGACGCACTCATGGAAAATTATGTCAAAGACTAGTGTTAGCATTTGTGATAGTCAAGAACGATTTAGAAGGCATATATATATATATATATATATATATATATATATATATATATATTTCCTATAGGCTCAAATGTATGTGTGAATAACCTCAAATTTAAAAGGTGTTTTTTTTTAAATAGTTGAAAACTTGAGTAGGTACAACCATCTATTCTGAGAGATTCTGTTTTCCTGTGTTGCAATTTGTCCCAGGCCTCCTACCTTGGAGAGAATGGCGAGATGAGCTGCGTTTCTTTGGCCCAGGTAATTGTGGGTGGGGGTAAGCTCTTCACTTCACATGGAAGAGTCACCTCTTCCCCAGTAATGACGGAGATCTCCACAGGCTTATCCTGGGACAGTCCTCGGTGCTCTCCAAACACTCGGGGCCTTACTAAAATAAACACATGTTTTGGAAGGGAAAGAGTGCACTGAAAACATTTAATTTACATTAACATGTGGACTGCAAATATTCTTAAATAACTGACCAAAAGATGCTGTTTATTCCAAGGTTTTGGGGCGTATCTAAAACTGTCCATTAATACATTTATTGTGACAGCTGAAAGGAAAATGATTAAAAAGTTACCCTTTTTAGCTTTTCTTTCATGATACAATGAAGAAGTCGGCTGAAATGTCCTTTCAGAGTTTGCCATCTGTAAAAGGAAACCCTCTAGGCAGAGTGCTAAGCAGCACATAGCTGAGATTTGGCTTTGCAGGGAGTTTTAACTAACGGATGTTTTCTGCCGAGTTGGGTTCAATCAGCACACTCCTTGGGACAACACCATCAAATTTTTTTCCAAAAGGCTACACAATTACTCTCCCTTTACATCTGAATCTAAGTAAAGGAGGTGTTGGTTAACAGTACAAAAAAAAAATGCATTTTTGTAAAACAAAACTCGCTGTAGGGGGACAGCTCTCTCTCCGATAACATTATTTGGGAGAGACATGTGAGTTTTGGCACAGACAGGCTATGTCAAAGAAAAACATTCCTGCACGAGCTCTCACCGTAGACGGTCAGCTGCACCTTCCTTTTGGCGTAGCCGGCTGCGTTGGTGGCGGTGCAGACGTACTCCCCGCTCTCCTCACCCCCGGGGGATACCACGTACAGACTTCCGTCAGCCCCTGCAGAAAACTTAGCACTGCTGGTGGAAATCAGCTCGCCTTTCTGCAAAACACCACAAAGACCAAAGTGTTTTTTAAGATAACAAAGAGTGACTTCATGTCTGGAAAAGGCAGAAAAAACATCTCCAAGGGGAAAAGCACGAGATTTAAAAAAAACAAAAAAACGCTAATTTGAAGAAAGTTATTAGTAAGAAAAATGAAAGGAATAAAGCAAAGGTGCTATTTCTTCACACCAAATGATGTCCCCTTCATTTCAGAGCTATATGGTCAATAATTTGGTGATAACGTGGTACGGTGTCAGAGGGTTGCTGGACTTGATACGTGATCACTTCTTTAGGTATATAAGTGTTGAATAGCTATGGTGCACACCTGAAACTAATATAATATTGTATGTTAGTTATCTTTCAATAAAAACTTTTTTTTAAAATGGAAGGGATAATGGTAACAGTAATGGATGAGGTGCGCTTATGCTAAGCCAGGTACTGTTTTGAGCACTTCTCATGAATGAACTAGTATAATGCTCACAGCAATCTTATGAGTAGGAACTATCACAACCCTCATTTGCAGATGAAAGTATTAAAGCTAGGGGGATATGTGGACTAACTTGCCCAAAGTCACGGTCAGTCAGTGGTAGGGCTGGGACTCGAACCCCCGCAGTCGAGCCCTGGAGCCCAAACTCTGAAACTCTGGGCTTCTTGATCACAGAACAAAAGCCAGACTGGAAAGATTTCACTTTTACATTTTCCTAAAATCCCCTAAACTTCAACTGGGTACCAGACACTGTGCAGTTTGGGGATCAGCTTCACCATTTGTATGTTTCTGCCCAGAATGTAGAAATCTTAACTTGTTAATTTAACCTACTGATAACACCAACTTCCCTATATGTCAGAGATTTTTAGATGCATAACATTAGGTGGTGTGGCAAAATAGTCTGATTGTTTCTCTAATTATACAAATGTCACATTTCATAATTATGTCAACATTTTATATTACTTTATATCTGCCAAATTTAAATTAAAAAAATATGCCAACTTCATGGCTGTTTGGATGGAAAGGAATTCCTCAGGAAATGGGTTTTTCCTCACTGCAACAATACAAGTAAAACCCGGACAACTTCATGACAGGAATACAGAGGGGAATAAATGAGTTTGCATGATGTGTCTTATTTTGGCTTCCTGGGACAAAGATTTGGGGACAGGACGTTTCCTTAGGAAGCAATCCCCAGCCAGGGGCTTGAGCAGAGGGGTGGGAGAGTGAGGCAGAGAAGGAAAGAAAGCCAAGAAAGGGTTTCACTGCTCTGGTTTCCCCTGTGGCTGGGCTGATCAGCTTCAATGCACTGGGGACCCTCCGAGACACTATGCGCCTCAGAAGGGTTCTTTCCATGGGTGAGAAGTGAGGCATTTATGCAGGACACTTGCCCCCAACAGGAGTTATTCCCCCTGCACTTCCAGGATAACTCATAGCAGGCTGAGTGGTCTTGCGAGGTTTTGGGGAAAGCTTTGAGTCCAAACACCAGAGAGGCACGTGTATGACACGTGACCCGGGCAGTGTGCATGGAGCTGTCCACCAGAGCTGCGCTGAAATCAAGGGCTGAGGGGATGCGGCAAGGGTAAAAGGGCCTGCTACAACATGAAAAGTGCCTAGGAAGTTTCTGGCGTGCAAAAGGTGCCATATGAGAGCTCACTGTTGTGTTAATACTATTGAAGCATCAGGTAGGTGACTGCTCTAAGGCCATGTTAAGATCCCTTCCAAGTAATATGACTGCATGGGTTTTCCTTTTCATAAGGTTTTATGTTCCAGTCACAAGTTCCATAAGTGACTCAAAATATTTAAATACTGTTATAACACGTAACATGAACAAGCATCATGAGATGTGTCATTTACCTTGGACCAGGTGACAGATGGTTTGGGAATTCCACTTGCTTTGCATGGCAAAGTTACTGGAATGCCTTCGATCGTGCTGAGTACCTGCTGCCCGTGCTGAATGGTTGGTACAACTGAAAAGAAGCAGTATTCAAAATCTGAGCATCTGTCCTTCCATTTAGCCCTATATGTTTAAAGTTGAACATTTTTCAGATATGCTGAACATTTATTAAAAACTAGCCAAGCCTCAACATTTTCTGAAAGAAATGTAGGGTAATTTGTAAGGGAGTGTAATAAACAAAGTAAATACAATAGTTATGATCTGAAGAACTTAATAAAAACTTTAAAAATCAACTAATAAATTATGTGTAATAAGTTGACTTTTCTAACAAAAATAAGAGAGGGCTGAAGAAAATTGATTTTTCCCTGGAAACTCAAGATAAAATTTCATCCTAGGAGTTACACATTTAACACATATCTTTCATCATTGTCCATTAGCTATTAAGCTGAGTGAGCTGACTTAAGCCCACCTCCAGAGAAATGGACTGTTTAATCACTGCACACTAACTATCTATGTATACACAAGAGTCATTTAGCAAGCTACTGAATTTAACCTAGAAAAAATATGTTCTAAGTCAATATTTTTCACGAAGAAGAACAACGCACCTTTTGACTTAAGAAAACAACTGAAGAATTAACACTGTATGAGTAGAAACAAAAGGAAAAGAAAGAACGTTGATCATTCCATTCTGTGTGTATCTCAATTAATCATAACCAACTTGCACACAAAAATGATCAATACTCAATGTTCTCAAAATAATGAATTTGATTAAAGAAGCTCCCATACATGAAAGTTCCTGATATCGTACAGAAACATAATGAAAGCCTCATATATACCAGACATTTCCTCTTCTTCCTCTCAAAACATGAGACTAGTACTGCTTCCTAGCGCTCAAGCATTCACTGTGTCTCTTGCCTGTAAGTCAGATTTCTCTAGAACTATCACAGCCACCATGGAGTAGAAGTTTAGCAGAATAAGAGATACCCGAGACCTTGGTGCACAACTTCTGTAGAAGGTTTCCATTAGCTTTGCTACATACTCATATTTACCTAAGGCTGGGTTTATTTTCTAGATAATTTATTCTTAAAGAGTCAGGAGCAAATTTCCAGTCCTAGACAAGAACATCAGGCTACTCTCTGAAGCAAGAAGTTTAATTTTCAGAATCATCATGGATTAGTCAACTTTCAACTATGCTGTCTTTTTGTGGCGACATGGAATAAGTCATATTCTTAAACGTATATTGAGTTTGACAGCTATAAAGGAAAGTGGCAAATTCAGGCAACAGTTTTCAAATCTGATGTCATTTGAGTATGGAAGAGCTGTTTCTTTCCAGACTGTCAATCTACATAAATCAACATGACAGGCAACTGGTTTATTTATCATTTTAATTTGCATTTACATTTGCATTCATTAATTCATTCTTTTAAGAATCGCTTGAGGGCCTTTAATGAGTATTCTTAAAAGTGGAGAGGCAAAGTGATAAAAGAATAGTAGTGCTAATTAACAGAAATACAGGACAAATCTGTGGGCTAAAGGGATGCTTGCTTTAGTTCATGTCAAATGTCTGGGTTGATTTTTTTTAACCTTATTGACCAAATCAGTTACTTATTTTGGACCAATATGGATAAAACGATGTTGTGAAGTAACCTTTTAACTTTTAATTGTTAAAATATTCTGCATCATGATAAACTAAATCACTGGTTTGTCTGTCTTCTCCTCACTCCTCTGATCTGGCAGACATCAGAACTAATTGGATCACTATGTCACTTTCACCCAAGTGAAAATGTACCTCAGAATCCTTCCCAACACCATCTTCTAGGCAGTTTCTAGAAACCAAAGGGAGATGATATGAATGTATTTCTGTACTAGGTTCTCAAACCAGTCCATAAGTACCCTCCAGGAAATCTTTAGATTGATCTTCTTTAAAAATAGTTGAACATAACTTTATGCTTACTTTCTCTATATATACGAGTATACACTCTGTGTATACACTAATTTAGACTATAACTTATTTAGTGTTACATTAGTATTTCTTCAAAATAAGATTTCTTCAAGAATATCTCATGTGATGTTGGTTGAGATTAGTATAAGATTGAGATTGGTGGAAGAGGCTATTTACAATGAGAAGCAGATAATAAAAAGAAGACAATTTTTTTTTGGAAGAAGATGGTCTGCAGTCACTGAACATTTCAACAGACCAAGCAAAATTTGGAAATTACTTGGATTCTCCAATTCATGTCCTAAAAAAAAGATTGAATTAACTACTAAAAATAAATGTTCTCTGCTACTTTCATCTCTGCACACAGAACTATTTTGTAATACCACACTTTAAAAAGCTACGTTTGTTGCAAAGTCTCTAAAGGGAACATACGAAAAAAACTTAGGACCATTTCTTAAACTATGAAGCTGCCACTCATTTATTGAGATGTAAAAAGTTGGTAACTGTTAGTCACGAATGGAAAAAAGATAGCTTCTGGATTTTCTTATTTGTGACTACTAAGTTATTTAACATGCAAAAAGATTCTCTGGAGCCCATTAGGTGGCCTTTAGAAAAAGTTTAGGTCATTTCCAGCTAACACACAAAGGGGTCATTAGTAAGGACATGCTTGTTGCACAATCCAAAAAGAAAAGGCAATTTGGATGGTATAATAAGTTCAGCTTGCCTGAAATTAAAATGTATTTTTAAACATAACTCTTTGAGAGCTGAGTTCACTTTAACCAATTAAGAAACCACTTACAAAAGCCGTTGGCCGGACTCAGCTGGTGACTCCCAGTAATGCCGTTTTGTGTACATAGCAAAGAGAAATCTGGAAACAGCCTTAACAATGTAAATATTGTTCAAGAAACAAGGCCTTTTGTTAAGAACAACAATGAGGAAAGATATTTACTTCTTATAACTAGAGGAACAGAATTATTCCATTTAAAGATATGAATGAACCCAGCTTTGAACAGGTTTGGAAAGCATTACAATGGGTGTGTCTCTTACCATGCACATCCACAGTGGTAGTTTTGTTCATGGTTCCAGCAACGTTACTGGCCACACAAGTGTATTCGCCTCCGTCCTGAAGGCGAACTCTTTCAATATGGAGACTCCCATCACCACGTACAGTGATGTAAGGATTTTGAACCAACTTAAAGACAAGAAAAGTCATTTTTAATTAAAAAGGCAATGTTGCCTAAGCCCAAACTGAATCTGCTTTTTTTCAACCGAGTTAGTAAATGTCTTGTAAACTAGCAAAATATTTTAACATCAGTAAGTGAAAAACGATGAGCAAAAAATGTTAAACCAAGAGGAGTATCACTTATGTGTCATGCTGATATACTACCAAAAATGATACCAACGAACACCTATCTGAGTTATGCACATCTGGAAAAAGGAGAGAAATAGAGACACCGCTTGTTTCATGGGACTGCAATTTTTGTTATCACTGAGGACGCAAATTTCATGGGTCATTCTCACTTTGGGCTTCATTTGTTCTTTTGAGACCTTATTGCAAGCCATTCGGTATTTTTTATTTTGGCCAACAGGCACTTATTCAAGCTGACAAAGTGTGACTCAGTCTCAACACCCACGCTTTTCAATGAGCAGATGCAAATATTAGAGGACAATGTATGATACAGGAACCATGTCAGAGAAGGTGGGCAATGTTTCCTGTTAAGAATGGTCACTTCTAACTCTGTACCATTCAAGCATTTTGTTCAACGACATGATACCTTAGTGCTCAACAAGTATCATCCTATATGATAAAGGCATTTTTTATTGATGGAGGTGTACTAGTTTTTCTCAGGTTTTTGTGTAAACATGAACTATTTTACATCTTATTCCATGGAGTCAATTCACTTCTAATTGGTACTTCAAGAAGAGAGGGAGTCAGACTGCTCTGGAAAATGGGGGAAAAAATGCTGTAACAAGATGAAAATTTATTGCCATAGATAGCATGTTATAAAAAAATTCCACAGAACTGAGAAAATCTTTCACATCCTTTCATAATTAGAAGTTATATGCTGGAAAACAATGACACAAAATAGATCCATATTTTTAAATAGTTCACAATACAAGATAATGTTTGAAGTTAATAATAAAGGTTAATATATAAAATGGAAGGATTTTATGAGAATATTAACATTTCATTATGTCCTACAAAGAAGGATATAAAAATATTTAAATGCTATGAAAATAACTTCATATTTGCTTCAGGTTTTACATATTCTTAAATGAGTTTATTACATTGAATCTGATGCAAAATTATAAAAATTACACACTGATTGTCCATCTTATTAATTCCAAAATAATATGAACTGCATAAACATGTTAATACAGAAGAAAAGTTTTGGTACACTCACAAAATACATTTTTGTATATTTACAAATTGAAATTTCAATGGTGGGAATACATTGTCTTTTTCTTTCCTATTTTATTTTTATTTTTTTCAATTAAATTTATTGGGGTGACAATGGTTAGTAAAATTACATAGGTTTCAAGTGTGCATTTCTATAGACATTGTCTCTCACTCAAGAAAATTAGGAATGTGAATGCATGGATTTAAAATGTTCTTACCATGGCTGAATTCTTAATCCACCGACGTTCTGGAATGGGATTTCCAGCTAATAGAGCACAAGGCAACGTAAGCTGCTGTCCCTCAATTACGCTGATCACTGAAGGGCTGATTCCAATGAGTGGAGCAACTAGTCAGAGAGAGTACAGGTACCATCAACTCTACTTCACCCACAGAAAGGCACACTCTTGTATTGGCCAACATGATGACTAATTATGCTATTAAAAAATGAGTTTTCAGGAAACAAGACTTTAAAATGCACATGGGTATGAATTGGAAGATAGAGATAAAGGATCCTTCTAAGCAGAAAGAATGGCAAGAGGGCAGGTAAAATCATAGAAGCAGAGGAAGTGAAAACAAATACATCTACGGCATGGAAGACATAAATGTCAAGCCAAAAAATTTACAATGTATTCCACAGACTGACAGACAGTGACCAAAAGCATTTGTAAACAGAAAAGTGGACTCATCAAGACATTTTCCGGAATACAAATATAAACCTGTGAATAGGACTTATTGGAAGGGATGAGATCAGTGATAAGACTGTCATTTGTCAAGTAAATAAAACACACTGAACTCCTGCAGATGGAATGGTAGAGAACTATCGTAAAGATGTCCTTTTCTAGAAATCAATGAACAAGTTTAACATACGTTAAAGCAAAATCCATAAGAGATTTATTTGGAAAATTTAAGTATATGTAGATGAATAAAGGGAGATACACAAAGAAAATTTTACGAAAGTGTATTAAGGAGAGACATGCACTGACAGGTTTAAAAATCACACTAAATGTTATAATAATTCAAACAATGTAGAACTAGTGCATAAATAGAATTCCAAGGAATACATGTAGGAATACAAATGTAGCATGTGACCAAATAGGTATTTTAATCAGTGGGAAGAGAATATTCAGTAAAAGATATTGAAACAAATGCCTTACCACTTGGAAATAAAGAATATTATATTCTTACTTCGTATCATAGACAATACAATTCCATGTGAACTAAAATGATAAATGTAAAAAATGTAAACAGAAAAGAACTGTACTGCTCTAATATGTGTGTGGATTCATATTTAGACTTAAATCAATTTATTCACATCGACCTTCGTGAGAAGATGACTTCTAGGGTTATTTTCAGTTCTAACATTCTATGAAATAGGAAATAGGGTGGGGGAGGGAAAACTAATCTACTAGTCAGATATTTACCTGGTTCTTTAAGAAATAACAGTGATACAGGCAAGAGACGATTAGTAAAGAAGTCTGATGAGTTTGAAGCATGGGGTGTCTACACCTCATTGGTCTTACCAAGTCCTGTCACCGTTATTGTTGTCTGGGACTGGATCTTTCCAAACTGGTTTTCAGCTTCACAAATATAGGTTCCTTTATCACTTGCCCACAAGTCTAAAAATAAGAGATCATTTATTCATTCAACACCATCTCTGGAGCATTAACTATGTGCTAGGCACAGGGCTGAGATCTGTGGGTGGACAATATGGTACTGCCTTCTGATGGGGAGGAGACATATACCAAAACCAACACTCACACCACAGTGGGATAAATTCTACCCTAAAGCTTCAAACAATGAGCTGCAGAAACAGAGAGAAGAGTGACTGAGGGCATGTGGAAGAATTAGGGAAGGCTTCACACAGAAGAAAATATCTCAGCTGTACCTTAAAACAGAAGACAGAGTGGAAGGGGCAGTCCAAACCCAGTAGGCTGCAAAGGCAAAAAAGCATGACTTGAAAAATCATGGTCTGTTCTAAGAATGGGAAGCTGCATTACCCACCACCCGGGGGCACTTTGGAGGCCTGCAGGGGGGATTCTTTTTTTAGTTGACCCAATGATTGGAGGAGACTACGGACATTTAGTGGGTAAAAACTAGGGAAGTGATAAGTGGGGCAGAATCATGAAAGGAACAATTATCCTAAGATTGCTGAAGGTTCCACTGAAAATTCCTGGATTTGACGACTGTTTATAATTATATGAGCCTACAATCTAATTCTGTGTAAGCACAAGCAAGTATTTTGGCAAGAAATGCCCACCATTTTAAAAAGTCACCTCACCAGCTTAGAGTTTTTGAGTCATCAATCCCATACTCCGGTATCAGGCTACATTTGAGCTGTCAAATTCATGGTGATGCACATAAACACGTATGCACATTGTCTAGACATTGCCAGAATATTTACTGGCTAATTGAAATATATAGAGTTTTATGAAATTACTTCATTTTCCTTTGTACTACACTTTGAATATCAAAATAATTTTTTATCATGTAGCTAGACCAAACATACAGAACTTTTTCAGGATAATAAAAAGTGTATTACAAAGTATTTTTAATGAAAGGGAGTGGTAGGGGGATCACAGGATGAGGACTCGTGGGTTACAGGTTGTGTGCACAGAGTGAGGAGACTGAAGCTGAAGAGGTGGCCTGGTGACTTCTAAAGAGTGTGGGGTTTTTTTGTCTTGTGAGCAATAAGGGAGGCAAGAGAAGATTTTAAATAGGGGAATGAGACTGTCATCTTTGCAAATATCGTTACTAAAATAAACACAGTTTAATCCACTGATAAGATTTTGACAAAGAAAAATATATCTTTCCATTGTGAATAGTTCCACACCCTCTCAGGCAAAGTGGAGTTGGCCAAGTTTCTACTTATTTGTTAATCACATGCATATCACTGCAGAACTGCATCTCAGACAGTGTCCACTCAGCAACAGCAAACATGCATTTGCAAAGGAAAACGCAGCCCATCACCTGGTTCATAAGTCATGCATTGCTTCTAACCATGACATTTTTTATATTATTAACTCTTGAACTCATTTGTGTAGAAATACAAAATATTTCTGAGAAGTAAGTTTGTAATCACGAGTTTCCTTCTAGATGATTTCGTTTGGACAACTGGGCCACCACTGGTCAATACACTGCTCTCTTTTATTCCCTTTCTTTCATCTCCTCAATTGCTTTGTTTCTGGTCTAATTTGTTTCTCTTTGGGCTGGTTTTCATCCCAACATCACCCTACCTGTGTAACTATGGGAGCCTCCCCATTCTCTCTCTCATCTCTCCTCCTATCCTGGAGAGCAGTTGTTTTGAAACAGTATTTTCAAATGCCTTTTCCGGCCTATGAAGCTTGGGGTGGGGTGTTCCTTATTTTGAATCTCATTAAATGCATTTCTTCACCAGCACATTTCAAGTTGTGCACAATGCGATCCAATCTAATGAGTACTTCCTGGTAGGTACATTTATGGCCATCCAATCCAATGGTGAGTTGTACAATGCCTCGGTAAGGAACCCCACATTTGACTTCTGTCTTCACCACAGAGCCTCGCACAGCACCGAATACCTAAGCACTTGTAATTAGGCAGTTTAATTTGTATTTGAAAGTGTAAGTGGCTAATTTGCATTTAATATTGTTAATAAATATGGAAATCACTTACTGAAGACTTTCTACAAAATATCCCAAAGATGCAATTACTTTTTAAAAACCAGTTCATCATTTAAATGTTTTTATTCCTCTGGTGCTGCTATCCAAATATCCTTAACAGTGTTTGGAAAAGTGCAAAATGTTTACAAATGAATGCTTTAATACTTTATAGGTAAAATTTTTGATGATGGCATATTTGAATTTTTTAAAAAACCCTCTGCTCCAGATACACATAACTTTTAATCAAGAAGTTTCCGTAGAATATAGGGTCCCATGCATGTGGTTGTGTATTTTTGACAAAAAAAATAATTAACATTTACTATTAGTAATATTTTTCCTTTGTATACAAGAGTTGGTATCAGAGTCAATAAAATGTAATCACTTATCCACCTACACACCCAGGTCACTCTATTTGCAATAAGAAATGGTGAGACATGAAGAAGTCATATTGCTTCATAAGCCTTTATGATATAACAAATACATTTGAATAAAATATAATTCATGTATGACAATTCCCAAATATGAGTTCAATCCTAGTTTAAAGTGAAATGCAACAAACACAAAATGTGTTGACAAGATTAATTCACTATTTTAAAGATAGCAATACCTAAGCATAACATACATATGTAACGTGTACGCTTATATGTGTATACAATATATTTCCTTTAACTTACTGGAAATAAAGAGAGCTCCTGTTCTTAGCTGGCTGATGGAACTCACTGAAGAGGGTCTTGAGAAGATTGGCATGTTGTCTAATCTTCGCCATTTAATCTTTGGCTCTGGGTAACCCTGGACATAGCAAGGTAATGTCACATTTGAGCCAATTTCCATAGACACATCAGCAGGTTCTTGTATGAAAACTGGAGGTGCTGGAAGATGTTTAAAATAACAACAAGAAAGGTCATTGGGATAGTATACAGGCATATTAAGTATAAATTTAATTATTAAACTGTCAACAGATTGAATTTGAATCAAACCGTTGTTCATATGTTATAAATTTATCCATTAAGTATTCTTGCCTGCTGTTGACATAGCAGATTTGCTTTCTACATGAATAGACACACAAAGAAGTTCAACTATTTATTTAAAGTGATCAATGAAGAAGAGTGGGGAATTAAACCAAGATTCATTTAAATAAAAATAATCTTTCATTTTAGAAATTTGTTTTCAATTTTAGTTTATGTCATACTGCTCAAACCTTTAAGGTTTCTTATTAAGAAGTTTGCCTTGTGATGAAATGTGTTAACACTTTACAAAGCTAACTCCATCTAGTCAAAATTTTAAATGAAAATTTATGCCAGAGTTCATTCTTCAATAGATTACTATATAACAAGCTAAGAGTATTTAATCCCACATTATATCTGTTCTATATCATGTTCTTGCTTCTCAAAACCTCACGTTTTTCACATCTTTGAGTTTAAGACATTTAAGCTAGAGAATTAATAATACAAATTAAAGTAACAGATTATGGTATTCGATAAAGGGAGAAGAGTAAGTGCTTAAAATCTTAGAGTTAAGAGATGATTCAGAAATGATAAAATTATAGATAATAAGGCTACAGTTATTCACAAAACTCAGGTAACCACAGAAGTCAGGAGGAAGAATTAGAAATATGCCAGAGGCACACCTGGGAAAGCGCCAGAATGATACAGAGAGGATGCTGGACAGCAAACCCAAACAGAGGAGGCACTCAGTCTGTCCTCTAGAACTTACGAGTAATGACGTTTGAGGCACCAGGCAAGGAGAAACATAGAGGATACTGTTAGAGGTAATTCATTAACCTGCTCATGTAGGAAGGATTCTTAAGGAGATACCCAAGGGAGGTCTCCTTGATAATGTCAAGGTTAAATATTGGTCAGGAATTACAACCACTGTCACGTATAGAGCCAGGGACTGTGTTAAGTGGTTTCCGTTAATTAGCTCACTTAATTTTCACAATGTCCCTGAGGTAGATACTATTATGGTTCCAATTTATAGATGAAGAAACAGAGGCACAGGTGGTTAATTTGCTAAGCATCACATGGAGCTGAACAGGGGAGCTAGGATTGAAAATCAGGTCGATCTGACTCCAGAGTCATGATTCTTTGTTATTTTATCAGCCTCCCCTTTTTCTATGGGTTCTTACAACTGCCCGAAGTCAACTAATAAAAGTGGGTCCAGAGATCACATCTTCCCTTCTCAGTGGGAATCCTGAGACTCAGACGTACAGTTGTCTTCTAGGCAGCATTGGTGCTTTATTAGTCTGGACTAAAGAGCCTCCTCTGACTTTGTAGCCTCATTTCCCATTATTCCCTCCTCACATCCTATTCTCTAGACAATCAGGACTCCTCACTCCTTTCCGAACAAGGATTGACCTTTCTCCTATTGGTACCTGAGTTACCACCACCCCTTTCAAATGCAACGTCTGCTGTTGATCTCTGGCTATTGAAACATTGACAATTCTTTAATCCAGTTCACCAGGCCCCTTCTCAATGTCATCTTTTACCATCCCAAATGAATATGAGGTTTCAGGGAACTCACTCTCTACCACTCTCATGGCAATGACCACCTTTAGCCTTTTATTAGACAATATGTTCGATTTTCCCCGGAGAGTTTATATTTGCAACCATATTTTTATCTTTCACTGCAACTAACATAGTGCTCTGTGCCTTGTATACATGGCTGCTAGAACTTTGTGAATATGAATGAGTCAGTCGATATTAAAACACTTCAACAATAATCGTGTGTGTTTGCATAAGTGTGTATGATAACAACCTCGATCCAGTGCATTTGAATTTGCACTTTTCAAAAAAACCAAGGCAATTTCAGAAATGCTATTGCTTGCTTATCAAACCTAAATAAAATTAAGTTCAATGCCACAGCTGAGTAATATGTTTTTAAAAAGAACCAATGCATTTGTGTTTAGATTTCTCTTAATATGAGAATTTGACTTATAAAAATAACAGGCAAAATAAACATATTTTTAAATAGTTTATAAAATTCCTCATAGTTTGCTTATTCTAGGTGTGTAAGGCCTAGTTAATTTTCTCTGGAGTGATAGTATTTGCTCTAGAGGCAGTGCTTTCCTGAAAAATAGAGGTTTAATGTTAAAATCTCAGGATGTGTTAAGCTCAGCGTGTGGGCAGGTGAATGTGGGGATGGGACAGAAAATAAATCCCAGAAGAGCAAAGAGATATGCAGAAGCCTGGGAATTGACCAAGTATTTGGGAGGTAACTAGCTTACTGACCACTGATACAATAAAACATAACCATCGGTGAAAAAGGAGACAAATTAGAATTTTCAGAACTAAGGAAGCCAAGAACAAACTGGAATCTAAAAGGATAAGCAGAGCTCAAGTTGTGCTCATAAAACTCAATTAAGATGGGAGAAGTCATTTGGGGAGAATCAGCTTCGGGAACTGTGTCAGATACAAGGCAAGCACTAGGTCAGGGTATATACAGACTGGCACCAGGAAACAAGACCAATGAGAGCACCAGGCACGAACTGGGGAAGCAGCCAAGATAGCATCAATGACAAGCGAACCTCAAACACGAAGCCACTCCAAACTCAGGCCAAGAAGCCTCGCAAGTGTGGCCAGTTTGGACTCCAAATGAATTACACTGACTGGATGGTAAACAGATCAACGAGACTAAGGGGAAAGGAGCAGAAGCGATTGTAGTGCATCCGGGACTTGTACAGAGCAGGCTGTGTTACTTAGAGAAGTTACAACCCACTAGGTGGTTTCAAATGGCAGCTCCACTATTTCTTAGTCTGTAAACTTGGAAAATTATTTTACCTCCCCCAGCCTAAATTTCCCCATGAAGCAAAGGAGTATAATAGCATTTCTTATCTCATGTTGTTAAAAGAGAATGTTTACTAATCATTCAGCATGTAGTAATCACCTGAATATTAATTATCATTCATCATAAATATGGTAGAGTTACTTTATTAAATCTTAGTTCTGGAGTTTAATGTAATCTATTGTTAATTTCAATTTTGGCTTCTGCATATGGTCAGGATGGTACTGAATCCTCTATGATTCCCTAAATATTTGTGTGCAGGCACCTTGAGAGTTACACAGGGTTAATTAATGCATGGTACAGCTTTGTCGTCACTTACAGATAGATATGCCTGCACGCATACATTAGTGTGAAAATACCAAAGTTACAAACAATGGACCACCTTGCTCTAAAACCTATTCCATGAAATTATTCTAGTTCCTTTAGTGATAATGAAATCTATCTCTGTATAGCAACTCTTACATCCTATTAGTCAGAGATTTTCTTTCCTAACATGGCTGAACACACTGTTTTGTTTCTACCAAACCACAAACCATGAGACCACAGTCTAAGACTCAAACCCTGTGTGGCGTGGAATGCTGCAAATAAAATCACTGCCAGGCCAGCGTTTTGTTTGATGCAGCCAACCTTCTGTTCTTCCAAATGACTTCATGATTCACTACCTTTTTTTTTTTTAAAGGATGAAAGGCATTGGTAACTTTCCCTGTTGACCTGAAATGTCCATAACTTAAAGCCACGATAATAAGAAATAGAAAAAAATGAGACTCACTACAAGAAGCTAGAACTCAAGCATACTATCAAATAATATTTTTATAATAATAGAAAAATGTTTGATCGGTATTGATGCGAAGTCATAGGCCCACAAAAACAATCAGAGAGCCCAAATAGTTACATGATATGGATAAAAGCATGTTTTTCTTCCTAAGTCATAAGCTACTTAGATTTATGCCTAATAGATTTGGAATTCAGATGAATAATTTTATGTACTACTAATAGCAAATCTTGTCTCAAGCCTTTAAAAAAAAAATTCGAGTTGAAATATCTTTCACATTAAAAGCCCAATGCTTAATCTTAAATATTATGTCACGACTATACATGCATTTCTATATTTATTTTCCAAGACTCAAAGAATCAAAATGACCACTCGATTTGTGAAGTTAATAACATTCACCTATTGATACATGTCCCATTAAGCAGCTGCAGATGAACAGCAGTAACCACTGACACACTGAATGCACATGTGGAATGATGTCTCACTTCATCTTTACAACCAACCTATAAGGTAGGGACTATTAAATGTAAGGCAGAAAACCCAGTCTCTCTCCAGAGCCCATTCTCTTAACCACTATAGAACACGTTGCAGACAATTTTGGGGTTTTGTTTGATTGCTTTCGAGCCTAATAGTGATAACCACAAGCATCACAACTGTAATTTGCACAGTTCTTAGTTACATCTTGTATCTGCAAGGATATGTGACAATAGTTGAATGTGGACTGACAATGGCCTAATCACTTTGTAAGCTAAGTGATCAGGACTTTTAACGGGAATGAGGATCTGACTACTTAAGGCCTAACAGGAACCGGAAGAGCGCCGACTTTAATATTAAGTTATTTGGCAATTATTAACAACGATCAAGGTTACAGTGAGTAAACAACTGAGTTTATGTTAATGACCCATTAGACCAATTACTGGAATAAGAAATTGAGTAAGCCATTGTTTTAGAAAGGGTCATAGAGTGAAGATCTTGAATATGAATGAAAATAAAACAAAATTCTGTTCAAGGGATGAAGGATAAACACAAAACATTTCTTAGGATGTTTTCTAATCTAACACAAATCACTCCAGCACGGACAGCCCTAAGCCTTATACAGTTTAACTCTAGTCATAAGAGAGAACCTGGAAAGTCCAGAAGCTAAAAAGATTACCAAGAAGGCAGTAAGAAAACAAAGTAACAAGTGTAAGGTATTTAGATTTTCTATCTTGGCATCAGGGAGTCATTCCCTTTTTTGCTAGGATCAATTACTGAGGCTCTTTCCATCTTCCTCTAGAGCAGCGGTTCTCAACCTGTGGGTCGCAACCCCTTTGGGGGTCGAACGACCCTTTCACAGGGGTCGCCTAAGACCATCAGAAAACAAAAAGATATTTACATTACGATTCATAACAGTAGCAAAATTACAGTTCTAGAGTAGCAACGAAAATCATTTTATGGTTGGAGGTCACTACAACATGAGGAACTGTATGAAGGGGTCGCGGCATTAGGAAGGTTGAGAACCGCCGCTCTAGAGCTAGATAACTCTAAAAGAATGTTGGGCAAATATAAAATATCTGTTCCAGAAGTAGGGAGAAGCAGAACTAGGAAATGTTGAGAATTGAAATGTCTTGAAAACAAGAGTTCGGCATCGAGTGACCTTCCTCATTGGGCCTTGCATTTCTACAAGCATTGCTTGTGTTTTACACACTGCTGGTAGACTCAATCCCCTCCACCCAGATATTCCAATCTTACTTCCAAGGCACTTCTCTTAATAACCACAGAGTTTAGCCCTGGTTCAAACACTCTTGCTGTGCCCTAGGAAGGTTCTACCATGGTCTTTGTGGCTATTTCCAGCTTTGTCGATCCCACTCCAAGGGCATAGCCAGCAAAAAAGCAGAGAGTTCAGCAGACAGCCCCAAGGGGGAGGGGACTGTCAAAAAACCAGGAGGGAAATATTAGTTTATATGAAACAAAATATTAAGCTTAGAGGGTTATGATTTTCATTTAAAGAATTAAGATAGTAGGACTAAAATGTTTTGTATTATTGTATCCTAAAAAAATACATTTATTTTTACAGTTCCTAATTTTTGTTAAACAACAACAACAAATACAAAAAAAACAGTTTTGGCATGAAAATCACCATACATAAATGAAAATATAATTTAACGACAAGTCATATTTCACAAGTTTCAGTGATGCAAACATTTGAATTATCTGTTAAAATGAAGCTGCCAGGTTCTTTTTCATACAAAGCAAGCTCTGTTTTATTTCAAGTGTTACTACACTGTGTAGAATTTTTTTTTTTTCAAGAAACATGAGATGGAGAGACAAAGGAGGGAGGACCAAACTTCTCTAGTAATCCGACTATCGCTGTCATGCACATGCTGTATCCTTCACGTTGTGATTGACATTTATTTGTAGTTAGTCCTTTATTTTATACACGGAGGAGTCATTGCTAGTGAAGTAAAAAAATAAAAGCACAATCGGCTACCTTTGCTGTCATCAACATCTTCAAATTACGGTCTAGGGCCAAAGGCTAATTTATGGCCTCCAGATGTTAATACTTAGGAATTTGGTGTCAGAATGGATGACTCTTGATAGAAAAATACTTGCCAATAGGTAATATATCAGGAAAGACTGCCATCTGTAAAGTCAGGCAACCTGGGTTCAAATATCCAGATTCTCTCCCTCCATAGCTCTGTGACCCTGGTAAAGGTGATTAGCCTATTTAAGCCTTCATGTCCTTATTTATATAATGGACATAATTATGGTAAATTCCCCTGAGGATCATTATAAGGGTTTAACGAGACAATGCATATAAAAGTTCTTAGCACAGTGTATGATCCATAGAAAGCACTTGGTAAATGCTAATTACCACTATTACATTAATCATCTTAAATGCTGACTTTAATTTTGCCTTCCTGGAAAAACATTTCCACCCAATTGTTTCCAAGTTATTAGCATAGAAAAAGCAGCAGATCAGTGTAAAAACAAATTTGTCTATCAGAGCTGGGATGCTTACAGCCAACATCCAGAGTTATCTTGCCAGTTGCTCTTCCAGCATCATTGATGGCTACACACGTATAATCACCAGCATCCAGATCTTGAGTTTCTTGAATCTTCAAAAGCCCCAAGAGAGGATCAATAATGAGGAAAGTTGAGGGCCTCAGCTCAAGATCCCCTAAGTGAAAACAAAGGGGGGAACATGAAACACTGAAGTATTTGCAAAGTTTGCCATTGGTTTGATTTCAAAACTTCTGATTGTAAAATTTTTAAATACAAGAGTCTGGCTTAGGGTAGACGCTTCAACAATGTTTCTGCAATGAAAGAATGAAGTGTTTCTTGGCGCTGATCTGGTTTATTAGTCTGTATAATTCTACGGGCTAACCTATGGTCCCAAGTCTGGTCCTACATGAATTATGCACAAATATCTCTGCTGTATATGTACCTAAATAAGAATGGATTCTTTGAAGCTACATTGGGGCACTGGGAAAGGTATTATAGCAGCTGTCACTGTGGCCGTATCAGGTAAGAAGGGGATAGGAAAGTGAAAGCTGTAGGAAATTACTACTATCTTTGTGCAAGGATGAATTTCAGTTACCCAGGAAATGCTCAGCAGGCTACAGGGCTTCTGAGTTTGGTTAATGACAAGGTTTTTGGTTTGCTGAATCCTATCAGTTAGCTTTTTTTTTTTAATTAGTTTCAGGTGTACAAAACAATGTAATAGTTATACATTTCACCCCTCACAAAGTGATAACTTCCCTCCCCCAAATCTATTGCTCCTCTGACATCGTATATATCTACTACAATTCCATTGACTCAATTCCCTATACTATACTCCATATCCCGTGACTACATAGATATTAAATTATGGTTGACATACAGTATTATTCAGCTTCAGGTGTACAGTGAAGTGGTCAGGCATCTGCACTGTATAATCAGTTAGATTTTATCCTGTGAGAGGTAGAAGCTGCCGAGAGCATTCTGAGAATGGCTGGTGGAGAAGCAACCACTGTGAGCTGCAGAGGGTAGGGAAGAGCTTGTCGGTAGATGAGAAAGAATGGACGAGAAACTTATGACAATGGCCAAAGAGAGGTATTGTCGTATAAATCTCCCAGGATACCTCTACTAAATCTGTTTTATTCATTAAACTTCTGTAAGTTGGAGTTACGGGGTGTTTTATGGAAGAAGCAGGTAGGGGATAAATGTGTGTGTGTGGGGAAACCACATATTGAGTTTGACCTCAGTGTGAGGGTAGGAGGACCCACGGAAGCTTAGTTGTGTCTGAGTTCCCTGTATATGCTGTGTGTCCCTGCGGCACCTCAGGTGTCCTGAGAACCATTTCTGGGTGAAGGCAGGCAATACCTCAACAAATCTGTAAATTAGGTTAGCCTCTCCTGATGCTTTCCCTCCGGCAGGCTGTCTCCTCTTCTAAGAATATAATTAGGCAGGATGAGAAGTATCGTAAAAAACACCTAGTGCTGGATGCCAGCTTAGTGTCCATAGCTTTTTTATTTGTTTTTGTAAAGACTGATATCAAACTCTTCATGGAGGTCATGAAAACTTCCAGGAGGTTTTAGGGCCATGGCTCTAGGGTTTTATAGCATGTCCAGATGTCAAGTCTGAAAAGGTTCTCTCCCAAATGTCACAGACTAGCCTAGCCATTGGCGCTGGGCCCAAGAACTACAGAATTAACTCCCTTAACTTCTAGCAGGCAAAGAGAACCCCGGAGCTAGTGATTGTCTAGGGCACTATAAAAAGCCCAACCAACAGACTCAGGGCAACAAACAGACAATTCTCTTTTTGTTTTTATAATTTGGGGAGGAGGAGAGGTCAAAGGAGCCATAAATTTAACAGCACAAAAAATGATATTAGCATCTGCCAGTGCCAAAAATAAAGTATTTTTCAGCATTCCAATATTTAAAACCCCAATCATCTTTTTAAGCCTGCTACTACATACCACACGAGAAAGAAAAGCAACTGAAGGCGGGTCTATATGCCGCTGGGAAATTTTCATAAATAAAAGCAGATGATGTTGACATAAACTTTCCTCCCACTAAGGGAGGATGCACTGTGACCTAGCGATTCTTCAAGAATTAAAATATTTAGACTAAAACACTCTCCCTTATTTCTTTTATGTATGTCAGAGAACACAACAGGGTGAAATGAAGACCTTTTTTCTTTTTTGCGAGGAGCTTTTTTTTTTTTTTTTCAAAACAAAAATGTTTAAAGAATAGCAGAATAGCAGTAATAAAACAAAATCTGAATTGGAAAATCCTGGTCTGACCAAGTTTCCATTGTGATCACATTTGAATAATCTCTCCTTTCTTGATTTCTACTGAAAAATTAGTCATTGGACTATTGAGAAACCAGAGAGAAATACAAAACTTTAACCTGGAAATTAAATAGGGTTTAGTTTTAATGAAAGATTAGCAGAATGTTATACATAGTAAAATATATAAACTGTCCTGACAATTGATTCTAGGATTTAATAATCGTTACCATGGAAGAGGGTTCTCTTTCTGCTGTAATTTAAATTCAGTTCTGGCCTCTATGGATGTAAACATTAACAGAGATCATTTTCCTGGCATAAGATCTTTTCAAATAGCTGATGGAAATTAAGTGGTTCTCAAAAATGTTTGTCTCAAAGGCTTCTTACATTCTTAAAAATTATTGGGACATGTCGAAAGTTTTTGTTATGTGGATTATATTTATTTGTATTTGTCATTTTAGAAATGAAACTGAACATTTTGAAAATGTATGAATTTATTTTATAATACCAAACTGATGACATTTTAACATAATGAACACATTTTACGAAAAAATAACTATATTTCCCCAAACAAGAGAAATTACTGAGAGGAGTGACATTATTTAACATTTTTGAAAATCTCTAGAATATTCTCTGTTAATAAAAGACAGTTGAGTGTTCAGATTCGCTTCTGCATTCACTTTATCTGATATCACATGTCACGGAGTCTCCAAAAACTCCACTATACACTCATGAGACAATGAATCTGAAGAAGAGAAATAGCATCTGAGTATTACTAGGAAGATAATTTTGATCTCGTGGATTTCCTGAAAAGAATTGTAGATTCCTAACTTAGTACACTTTAAGAACCACTAATCTAAATAAACAAATCCAATTTCTTTAATATTTTACCAGAAATATCCTTTATATAACATGTTAATATTGTCCCTAATTCTCCTTTGAACCCACGTGATGTTGCTCATTTCTAGAAACGAAAAATCTAAAAATATGGTGGGCGTCGGTACTTATGGAATTCCATTTCTCTCTGGATCTGAGTGGCATATAATTTATTAAAGAATGGTAATTGGCAGGCCCGGGGTGGGGGAGAGGAAATGGGGAGTTATTGTTCAACAGGTATAATGTTTCAATTATGTAAGATAAATATGTTCTAGAACTCTTCCATACACCATGGGGCCTACAGTTAACAATACAGTATTATACACTTAAAAATTTGTTAAGAGGGTCGATCTCAAGGATTCTTAACAATAACTAAATGAATGAATGAATGAATGAATAAATAAATAAATAAATAAATAAATAAATAAATAAATAACCATCTACTTTATTCAATCAGAATTGCCTGAAGAAAAAGACATTTAGAGAGGCCAGCCGAGTGGCGCGATGGTTAAGAGCTGGCTTGGGACGCCAGAGGGCCCTGGTTCGGATCCCACATATGAGGGCAAGTGACACTGCCCTCTACAGCTGAGATGCTGAACGGCAGCTCAGCCTGGAGCTGGGCTCCATGAGTCGCTGATGACGGCGTAGGCTGCAGCCCCTGCTGCAGTGGGTTGCCATGGGCTACCGTGTGTAGCCAGCAGCCAGCGTGAGCGGCCAGCAGCCGCAGTGAGCGGCCGTCCAGAAGCCGGCGACTGATCTGCCTCACCAGAGAAGAGCGCAATGATGGTGCCAACTTGGGCCAGTGAAGCAACGTCCTCCACAACTAGACTGAAGAACAAAAGGACAGCAACTTGTCTGTTCCCCTTTCCCCAATTCCCCAGCACTGTTCTTCCCATGCCCCCAATTCCCCAATAAAAATCTTTAAAAAAAAAAAAGACATTTAGAAAAAGCTGTGGTTATGGTTAGGTAAGAACTCTTCTTCACTGCTGTGATTTCCATATGGTAGGATTTTGCCAACCTTCCTGGTGTCTCCTCCCCCTTTCTTTTTGGAGCCAGTCTGCATGTAGAAGAGTTTGTCCTCTAGTTTTGTTCTCCATGATCCAGGCTCTGCTTCTGTAGTAAGCCTCCCGTGACTGGAAGAGTAAGTGGGTCTGATCTTAGGGTTCATGGCCACTCTGCATATTGTTGATGAACGTTGGAGTACGTCCTCCAACACGGCCTCTCAGTAATTAATACCCGCATTCTAGCTCTGTTGGTTCATAACTCAGACAGAGAAATGGGATATTATGACTGGGCCCATTGAGCTCTACCATCTATGGCTGAGAGGAGAAAGTAATGAGTAGTCAATTCTAGAATCTTCTATGTGGTGGCTGCATGACTCCCTAACTCCTCCTTTAGCTTCCAAGCCATTTGTGGGACCCAGGCTGACATGAAGACTAAGCTATTCAGGAAAGTAGCTTCAATTTGGGAGAATAAAAGGCTTTCTGATGACTGCTATATACTATTGGGTTGTCAGGAGAGTCATGACGTATTTTTCTATGTTTTTCAATGCAAAAATGCACCATGACTTTCCTGACAACCCAATATATATGTATGACAGGTAGAGAAATCAGCAAGTTCTATTACTTCTAAAAATTTTTATTTTTAACATACACTACTGACTGACATATGAAAAAAGAAACACTGCCTCTATAACACATTTTTTTTCTGGATCCATTTAATTGACATGACCTTGAAATTGATATCTATTTCATTTGTAATTCAAAGACTTTAGTCTTTTAAATAAGTAAAGTTAGTTTATGTTCATTGAAATAAACCGAATTAAGTAAAGGCAAATCCAGAAACAATTTATCAGAGAAAACATGAAGACTTAAAATCATGTAACGTGGAACATGGCATTATCTTCTAGGTTTCTTCCTTATTTTTTATTTCTGTTAATATAAAAGTGTTTGTTTTCTACACAAAGCCTTTCTTTTTCTTTCTTTCTCATGTTCCCCAAGCATTTGAACCCGAGGTGAATTCATAATTTTGTGATTATGACATCAACCCGTTGCTATGGAAAAGTCTGTGATTTAACAAACAGAATCATAACAATAGTGCTTTGTACCATTTAGCATTTTTCATCTGAAGATTAAAAAGTATTTTGCAAACAGTATCTCAATAATCCTAGCAACCTCCCTGTTAGGGTGTCTGCGGGAAGTTGTCTTTCTCATGGATTGGAAGAGCTGAGACAGAAACAGAAGCAGGGTACTTTACACAGATATATGCTGTCAGCATCTGAGCCCAGACCAGGACCCAAGTGTATTCTCACTAAGGACAAACAGCACATTACTATTCTTTTATTACTGAAACAGAGAGGTGTAATATAGGCAGGTAGCATTTCGATAGTTTGACATAAGCATCTACCAAGCATGAGGAAGCTGACCACGAAATACCATTTGTCTCTCCATTGAATAACACGTGTCATTCGATTTTAAGCTTCAACGTGTGTCTTATCTGATCACTTTATAGAAAGCATCCTTGAGAACCTAGAAAACTTTTTAACAGTGAGAGCAATTATCTTGAAGAAAAGTGAACTGAAAATCGGTGGAGCTATTTTAAACATTAGCTGAGTATTCTTGGACCATTTTTCTACAGGAAACAATCCTAAACTAACAAAGAAAATGTTCAGCTGGATTAGCAAAGGCAAACCTTTCCTGCTTTGATTTTCACGGTCCTATAATCCACACCAGATGGCAAATCCTGAAATGCCGAGTTCAGAGTTTTAAACTATTGTCTCTAGTGAGATCATAAACACATTTTATGGGGCTGCTAAGTCACACACCAAAACAAACTTTTAACAAATCATTTTTTTAAAGCGAAAACAAAACGAAGTCCAGACATGAACATACTTCAGACATGTACCTTTGAACCATTTAACTTGAGGTGGAGGAACACCAGAGGTTCTACATTCCAGGGCTGTTGTATCCCCGACAGAAACCAAGAGCTCGCTCTGAACAACGATCAACTTTGGGGCTTCTAAAAATAACAAGCATGCAAATAGTTAACATCTAGTACAGTGCCACACGTACCTTGTTTATGTTTACTAAATGAGCCAATAAAAATAAAATCTATCCTTATTTATGCGCTTGTGGCTATTTTAGTTTTTATAAACAGAAACACTTTTCTAATGCACATGCATATAGATGTGTGTGATGAAAAGATCATTTATTCAGGCCAAAAAAGGATATGAGGCAAAAATAATTCTGATGAAACAAGAGTCCAAAGAAATTTAGGAAATGAATTGAATGGTCTTTATGAAAAAAGAGGCATATAAGGAAAGAAAAATCTTGGAAAGCTGAATACATCTTACAGAAACAATACTAGCAGAACAGAAAGAAAGATAATAGGAATAAAAAAAATCAAAAGAGCTGTGATGATAAGACTCACTTGGCTACATTAGGACTCGAGGATAGTAAAACTGCAGGCAAATTTATTATAACATTTTTATGAGACTTTAAGATATTCGCGTCTAACTACAAAGAGATATTTGCAGTCCACAGCTAAAATCGGCATCCATAAAAAGTAGAGTGTCCCAGGTTTGACTCCATTTTTCTCTTTGATGCTACCTATAGACATTTTCTAAGTTTCTTTCCTTAGCTCTGTTCGCTTCATCCTCTGGCCTATTTAGTTCATGCACACATTTTTCTCTTAACTGGACATTTTAGGACTTCCTAACTTCAACTGAGGTAGTTTTAAACAAAGCCAAGAATTAACTTCTCAAAGAGCATGTCAGCCCTCTACTAGAAAACCTTCAGTGACTCCATTTCATAATTCCCTAGTTTGACCTTCAAAAATCATACACCGGTCACAGTTTTCTCTTCAACCTAACCCTCCATGTCACTTCCTTACTTATCCCATAGTATGGAGTTACACTGGAAGTCCAAAACACACCCTACTGTCTCCTGTCTTCCTGCTTTTGCTAAAGCTGTTTCCTCTGCCTGAAAAGCCTTTGGCCACAGTTCTCCGAACCTCACTCATTCTTCCACACTGAGCTTAAACCCTGTCTCATTTGAGAAATCTGTGTGAATTCCTCAGTCATAATTAATCTTTCATTCTGCCAGTCTTCTGCAGTGCTTATCTGTCCTCTTATATTTCCTTATGTATATCCACACTCATCATGCAAGCTCTTGAAAAGTAAGGACTTGGTAACACACATTTTAAAATTTTGCACTCTATCGTAATCTCTAGCACAACATTTTACATACTCTGGGTGATAAACAAGTTAAGTAAATGGGTCGAATATTTTGGCTTCTTTGAGAAGGAACCAAAATTGGTTTCTGCAATACAGGTTCTGTTTCAACCCCCCTTTCTACATTCCCCACTGTCTGCTGCCTCTCCACCTCGGTGTTCTGTGAACACTTTTAATTGTTTTCTCTAAATATGTTATCTCTAAATTTCTGAGTCCCTCCCCTTCTAAACTTATTTGCCACGGGCCTTCTTCATTTCTATAAATGAGGCCACTACTTTCTAGGTTCAATATTCATGAGACTTTTTGCTACCTCCCACCTATACAAACGAACTATAACTCTCAGTCTTTACTGTGGCTCGTTTACACCCCTTTCTCTCCTCCGCCAGTTTCACTACCTTACTATGAATGGCAAATAAGATTGAATGAAAGGGCGGATTGCTGGCCATTAATTATCCACAAGTCACAAACTAACATTGAGTTACGTAATGCTGTTGTCCTTTGTTTGTTTAAGAAAGACCAAATTAAAGGAAATTTCTATTCCATTCAATATTATATATTATTAGAATGTGTAAGATTATATATTATATTATATTATTATATATATTATAATAGATGACATCCTATTACATTATGGAATATTATATTGTAGAATAATTGTCATGAAGTGCATTTTTAATAAATGTTTGAGTCCGGAGGGGAAAAGTGAAGATGAAAATTCAAAATAATACCCAGATAAGATACAAGACAGAAATGTTATCAACAGTCTTGAATATAAGTGGAAAATATAAAATGGATGTTGAGGTAAACTAAAAAATAGACTGAATTTATTAATTAGTAGGTGAAAAACTGTAGAGAACAGATGAACTGAGGAAAGATGGAACTCTGCAGATAATCTGGAACTCTTCCATACTCCGGAAGCTTCCTTGATTTCTGTTGACTAATGAAGCTATTCACTTCCTGAACCTTTAACTTAAGTTAGTTATAATATTTACTTTCATCAATGTGTGAAGTGAATAATACATTATAAGACTGTGTATAACTCATTCCTAATATTCATCTTCAGAAAAGGGCTTTTACATCGCTTAATATGACCTTCATCTTATTTTAACTGCCTTTTACACTGATTATACTTGCCAATGTATCTCAGGGTAGAAGTCTGCTTATCCGTTCCAGCTGAATTACTTGCCAGGCAACCATAGATCCCTGCATCTTTGGGAACTGCATTTTTGATAAATAAGGTACCTTCTGAGGTCATCCTATACCTATGAACAAAAGGAAAATAAAATTGAAAATACCCTAATAATAGTGTCAAGGAACTACAGAAACTTCCTTCCACATATCTTCAAATATTTGGTTCTAACTGCAGAAATGATTAACATTATCATTTCATAAACATAAACATAATCAAAATAATAATAATAATAGCAATCATAGATCGCATGTATCCAGTAGTCGTGAGGTGCCAAGGACTGCCCTAAGAGCTTTACATTTATTAATATTTAAAATCTTTGAAACAACACAATGAGTTAGATAGTATCATTATCTGTGGTTGACAGGTGAGCAAAGAGGTCTTATAACTTGCTCAAAGTCAGAGTTAATAAATAGGAGAAATGAAATTTGCACCCAGGCAATTTTATTCTTGTGTGAACTGCTATGCTCAACGGTTCCTCAAAATGAAAACCTGGGGAATGCAAGGACTCATGTTGCACAGCGAGTCCGTGATGAGTCTAGGAATACGAGAAGAATCTGACTCATACCTAAGCCCTCCTCCTCGTGCCAAAGCCAGAACAATGGAAGCCCAGTCACTGGAAACTTCATTGCTTATGTCCCACGTGTCCATTACGCTCTTTGAGCATGAGAGAATTCAATTATTTTTAAAGCATCCAGTAGAATAAAATACTTCTCAAGTATGAAGTATGGTAAAAGCAAACAGGGGTTACAAAGAATGTCTACACACACTTCAGTTAGAGCTGCTGCTCTGTCCTTTGCCTCCCTCTCTCTCCTGTTAAATCCCAGGGCCATCTCTTTAAAAGATTGGTTAGGACTACATATTACTTGACCTCACAGAAAGTCCATTATCCTCGCTTCAAATATTCAAGGTAAGCCAAGCGTTATGGTGTTTATGTTTGCAACGCAAAGTATTGGAAAGCACTTAAATCGAATTATTGAATTCAAGACTTAAGAGCCTTGAACTCTATAAATTCATCAAGTATTATTTTATTGACATTTCCTGGCCTGTTTAGAAAATCTAAAGATGTGGATTTGGGTCAAACCTCCCTTAATCATAGGGATTTGGTCAGATTGGTTTTGTCCAGAAATTTCATCACCTTTTCTCACTCGATAAAAACAAAGAACATGATAGAAATCCACTACCTGTGGGAAGCCATGATAAACATATCATTAATGGTCCAGGCGATCTTGGGTTTGGGATAACCTGTGGCAGAACACATGATGGAGACCTCAGATCCTCCTGTGAAAGACTGATTCCTGGGCATCACGGTAACCTTGGGCGATTCTGCAAATAAAAAGAAACATATACAGTGAAATGACAACTTACTGTGATGTTAGGAGCTTTCTGTGAGCAAACCTGTAGGCTTCTCTCTACCACACCCCGTTTGTCTTGTTTTTTTTTTACACTTCCAAGAGTTCATTTATAAAAAGTAACGACTGATTTGCAGTACCAATTCAGTAGGCCTGCTCCCCAAGACCGGCAGGAGTGGCGGACACTGCTTTCTGGCTCCTCACGGCCCAGGTTACACAGAGGTCCCAGCCCCCACAGAGCCCCTCCTTTTCCTGAAGGCCTGATGTGGGGCTCTGCCCCACGGGCCCAGGCGGGAGGGCGGAGGGCTTACCTCTGGCCAGTCACTCAGAGACCTTGAAGCCCAGCCCAGCCTCGTCAGCCCATCTGAAGTCCTAGGCCTGCTCCTCCTCCTGGGTCCTGGAGGCACGAGGCCGGCGAGGCCCGGCCCTCTGAGCGTGAGGAGGGTCTGGCACACTGTCCTTTGAGGGGATGTCAGGGCCCTGGATCCAAGGCTCATGACAGGAAGGGGCTTGAATGAAAGTCAGGGGAGTTGCAAGAGCAGGAACAGTAATATTTAGCAGCTTTGGGATGGATGGGTGGTCCCCCTGCCCATTCTCTAGCCGGGTCCTTCCCTATCCCCTGACCTTGGACACTGGGTTGGCCCAGCACCAGGCCCTGCAGTGCCCAGTCCTACTGGGGAAGAAGGTAGTCCTCATGGCAGATTTCCACATGCTTGGGGCTGTCAGCCATGATGGGGACGGCATCCAGAACCTCTACCTTGAGTGTTCCTCAGGTGAAGAGCTTCGTCTTTGGTTGTATAAGGAGGGGAAGGTGGAGTATACTACAGGTATGAGGGCAACTTTGGCCTGAGAAGCCAGGTAGAAAATGCGTTCCTTTTTTTTTTTTTTTTAAAGATTTTATTGGAGAATTTGGTTAGGGAACAGCGTTGGGGAATTGGGGGAAGGGGAACAGACAAGTTGCTGTCCTTTTGTTCTTCAGTCTAGTTGTGGAGGACGTTGCTTTTCACTGGCCCATGTTGGTATTATGATCATTGCACTCTTCCCAGCTGAGACAGTCGGTTGCCGGCCATTGGACAGCCGCTCATGGCGGCTCATGGCAGCTCACAAAGGCTACCGGCCACTCACGCTGGCTGCCAGCCACTCACAGTAGCTCACGGCAGCCCACTGCAGCAGGGCCTGCAGCCTACACCGATGTAGGTGACTCACAGCAGCCCAGCTCCAGCTCAAGCTGTTGATCACCATCTTAGCTGTAGAGGGTGCAGTGTCACTAGCCCATGTGGGATCTGAACTGGCAGCCCTGCTGCTCAGAGCTCGTGCTCCCAAGCCAACTCTTAACCAATGAGCCACTTGGCTGGCCCAAAGATGCATTTCTTGAAAGCTAGCAGGTCCCCATTGTCTTTTTGCATGTCCTTGGGGTAGATCCACATTCTGAGTTTCTCCCTGACCATGTTCTTGCCTACATCAACCATCATGGTCACAGCTGTCCTGGAGCAGTGCCCGTGATGAGGACGATGTCCTTAAAGTACCTGATCAGGCCCACAGGCACCGTGAAGAGCAGCTCTCACCTGGCCATGTGCACTTAGCCCCTGGGAAGGGCCTCCATGAGGCCCATCGCATCCAGGATGCTCTGGTGGTTAGAAGTGATACAGGGGTGGTCCACCTTCAGCTTCTGGAGACCCTTTATCTCAATATGAGATACATGTCCTTGAAGGACCACATGAGCTAACTGATGATGATCATGTTCTCCACCATCTGGCCCCAATGGTGCAGCAGGCAGCCACAGTGGAGACCATGAAGGAGCTCTTTGGGTGACCCGAGCAGGGACCTGGCCCCATCAGTGGAGCAGAGAAACCACAAGCAATGAAAGCAGGAGAAGTAAATTCTCTTTGCGAGTAAAATGAATTTGCTCCCAATGTCATGTTTCTGTGTCTCTAGTGGTTGCCTTGCCACTTATTCACAACAGCTGACCACTGGCTGCTGGCTGCTAACCTGGAACTTCAACAGAACCTGTTTTCAGGCAAAGTCCCGAGAGAGGGTATTTTTGCCCCTTTCTATATAGTGAACCCAGGTTTGGAGTCACAACTTGTCCTGACTACTGCCAGCTTTGTTTGAATTGCTCTTTTTCTTTTTCTTTATTAGATTATAAATTCGTTGAGGTAGAGGCCATGTCTTTCAGATATCCCATATGTCATTATATTCTACAGTGTTTAACATCCTTTTAATGTTATGCAGTGACTTGTAAATAACAGACACTTAAAACTGTTGATGGAGTATGGGGCCATTCCTAAACTGTAAGTTGGCGCTGAGAATTTTCATGCCTGCTAGCCTTTTAAGGTCCTACTATCTTGATCATATGCCTCATGCCTATGGATCCAGAGGACCTCAACTTAACAGAAAATGTCAATTATTCAAAGTTCCAACTATATTCTGCTTTTGTGGCAGAAAAAAATAATTTTGAAAATGAAATATTAAATCAGAAATGTATTGTGAAAAAAAGAGACAAAAAATTCTTTGGGGTGACTGGGAAGCTGTTGCTATAGCTGGTCTAATCAAGTGTACATTTACGCCTATATTACTACTGAGTAAAACCTAATCTTTAAGGAAGGGGCCATCAAAAAATTATTAAATAATTTTCTTAGTGTAAATATCCTCCATTCACTAACATAAATGAAAATAAATTCATTTCCACAGTGTTTGAAATAGACATCAAAAATAAACAAATTAATTCAATAACATGTGGGGTTTTTTGCACAATTATTATGTTCCAAGCTCTGTGCTAACTTATAAGGATGCACTGATAAGCTAAACAGACAGGCATAGTGTCAGCTTTCCATTTAATTGGGTTTTTATTATTAAGGAATTTGAGAAATTCAGTTAGTCAGTTATATCTGAAAATATTTATGACATATCTTTACTATAAGTTAGTCTGCAAATTGTTTCACTCAGAAAAAAATTAGCCCATGGAAGCCTTATCCATTTGAGAGAGATACAAGTGGTACTGCTAGACTCGGCAGCTACACAATTGAACAAACCTAATTATTGTCTGATTGCTAGCAGCTTACACTTGTCACCCTTTTTGTTTTTCCCTGTTTACATTGTGTTTTTCAAATTAAGATTGTCCTTGAAATTCATGTTTGAAGGGTTTTTCCGGCCTGTGGACTTGGTTAATAGTCTCATTATTGCACGGATCCTTCTTGGTGAATATAGGGCTAGAGAAATGCGTGAGGTCAAGGGCAGGCTGGTCATGGCCAGTAAGTTCAAATTGTGATTCCATCTGGAGTCCATCAATTCTAAAATGCTGGAGGACTACGCATGCTGTGGGGGTGTTGCAGACAATCTTCAGGGGATGAGGGAGAAAAATATGAACACTTCTTTTTCTTTGGAATTTATTGAATACCCACACTTGTTCAGTCCCACCTTCCTGAAATATACTGTTTCTCATGTCTAGCTCATTTTGACATAGGACTGCTGCAAAGATTTAGCAGCTCTCGAGAATTTTGTCTAAACAAGGTGCCTTCCAATGGAGTCAGCCAGAATGAACCTGGCGTCTCTCCCAGCAAGAATCCCACTGGTATGCTCTGTAGTTCAGATATCAAAGTGAAAATAAATGTCAGTTACCCAGACCAGGATGCAGAGAGCTAAGAGGTCATTTTGCAAATAAAGCCTGGATGTAGGGTGTTGCTCAGGGTCACGGAATACGTCTGTGTATAACATACAGATGGGATGACATCATCCCACAGAAGGTGAGAAATTTACCATTGCCCTGGGAACACTAGTCCTGCTGGTGATAAGAAAATCAGAAAGGACATGAACAAATATAGGGAAACAAAATTCAATTTCTACCAAGTAATAGTTGAATAAAGATGGTCAGAATGATTCAGACTTTACTTGACTAGTTTAAGTAAGGATGTAATGGACCAGTGTAATTATTTCAGTGGTCGATTTTTTTTAATTCCTAGGAAAAAAGGAATTCCTCTTGTTTTTAATAAAGTAGTTTTAATAAAGCAAGAACAAGGAATTAAAGAACTATAGTTCAACTCTATCAAAGTCCAGAGTCCAATTTTTGGCTTTGGAGAGACATAATCCACTCTTAGTTCCCTTTCAATCTCTTTTCATCACCTTAGTCATCACCACCAACATGAGTATAATTATCATCACCACTACCACCATCACCATCAACCATCAACACCATCTCCATAATAACAACTTGCTTTTCATTAGCTAAAGCTATGGGAACGTGGCACGCTATAAGGTATTAAGGTATTAATTCATTCTTTATATTTTAATCACAACTAAAGCAAAATATGTATGTTTTTATATTCTCACCAAGGATTTTAAAAAGTTAAACATAGATTATGATACTAAGAATAAAAAATGAACAATAAGACTTAGGTGTCTTAACACATAATAATGGTAGGGTTGGCAAAATGAATTATAACTGCCTATAAAAACAGCCACTGCTCTGCCTACCAAGACTAGGGAAGATAAAGTCTTGCCTAACTCTTGGAAATCTCCCATATCATAGTCACAGGCAGGAGGAGTATTTCCTGTTAGTCTAGGTCAGTGGCGTCTGATTTGTTCTGTTATGGCTCTGGTAGGAAATTCTCAGAGAAAAGGCCTAAGGACTGTCTCTTTAAGGTGATTAAATTATCATCAACAAATTTGTAAGATAATGGTAATGCTTTAAATTACCTAAGCAACAATTTAAAATATTTTTCACCACTGGTATATTTAGGGTAGGTGGGCAAAATTATTTGATTTTTCATTTTTGCACACAACCAACATTTACTGAGTACCTACTATGCTTCAGACATTTTATGACCAGAGATCTCAAAGTATAAAAAGCATACTATGCATAATTAAGGACTAAATCTCTCTCTAGTAGTCAGTTCATTGAATAGGAAGGTGGCAAAAGTTATTGAGTGCCTATTATGACGTGCTAGGTATCGAACTCCAACCCCATCATTTATTTTC